AAGTGCCATCTACTCTGAGACCAAAATTCCAGCAAGTTCTCGGCTTTGGGGGGTTTTAGGGTTTGGGGGGTTTGGGGCCCGAAACCTTAAACCCTAAGCCTGGCTCTATAATGAGGTTGTCAGGGTTTTGTAAAGGATTCAGGGTTTTGTTCGGGGTTTTAGGATTTGGAGTTTTAGTCTTTCTGGTTTGCGGTTTGTTGTTTGAGAAGATAGCGGCCAGGGGGCGGGCGCTTGCGCTGTCGGGTGCAAAGAAGAAATAAGCATTTGGTTGCGAAGGATTCTTGGATGTCTGCGTTCAAGGGTTTACCGGGTCAGGATTGGGGTAGTTCCGGGTTTGGGTTCGCGGGTTTTGCAGGGGGCCTTGTTACTGTAAATAAGTTATAGTAAAGAACCCCGCGGAAGAGTATTGATAGGTATTCAGGCTTCAAAATTAGTGGTGTGGGACGGTTTGGTGGTGGGATTCTGGTTTTGCGTTTAGGGCTTGGCCACCTTGGGGTGCAAGTCCTTTGGGTCTTGGGTCCTTGAATGTCTCAGTGATTCAGGTCTGGGACTAGTCTGGGGGTGTTTATGAAGTTCGTGAAGGGTGAGATGTGAAATGCCTCAGCGCCCATGCGCTATAAAGCTTTGTGCTCAGGGCACGATGTCGGCGGTTGCGGCAGCTCCCGCCACGCTGCAGGCCTTGGATGTTCAGGGTGGCAGGCCATGTCAACATGAGCAGTTAAGAAATCTGGTCGCGTTTTGGAATAACAATAAGCCCAGATACCCGTGCTCACGATTATGTTCATCTATAGTTCCCGCCCTATAGTTCCCGGGAGTTCTCAGTCACCCATCCCACGTGGAGACATAGCGGTGTCAACAATCGATTCTTGCGGGTGCTTGCTCTTGCCAGTCTCTCTCTTCTGTCATTACAGCCACCACGAATTTCCAATATCTGTTTTTGGAGGCTAGGGATTTCTCACTCCGGCCTGCGCAGTTTCCTCCCGGATACGCCGACCCACGACCTTGAATTCTGCGGTTGACTAGGGCCACGAGGGTTTAGGAGGACATCTCTGCCATGCGTCCTTGATGCGACTTTCAATCAAGGCCGCCCGTGTGTGCGGTCTATACACGTTCGATCGGTGAAATGTCTGAAGCCCCTAGGCGTAGGCCCTGAAGCCCAGAGTGCCAAGAGCTTCAGCGCTTGCCAGCTGCTGACGCTCCGATTGCACCAAGTCTCCGGTGTGCTGCCGCTCGCAGCCGCGCAGTCGGCGGTGTGCCTCAGCGAGAGAAAGCGCGGGGCAGAACGGCTGCGGGTAGGTTGGGTTCTCAATGTGTCTCGAACCCAGAAAAGGTTTGGTGATTGAGTCATTGTGTGGTGGAGGTGGTTTGCTTGTTCCCCCGAATGTTACAGTCTCCTTTCCAAAAGGAGAAAATGGTTCAGGGACATGTGCCATCCAAGCTCACAGGCTGGTCTTCCACGTTGTTCAGATTTCCTGCAGCCTGCGCTTTGTGTTTCTGAACATCTCGCAGCTTGGCAGCAGGGCTTTCAGCGACAAGCGACGAAGCATTCTTCACAGCACTGCATGGACCCGTCTTGTGCCTTGACTGCTTTTGAAAGCTACCGCAAACAGCTTAACCTGTAACGCTGTATGATGACTCGATGTCCCATTTCGGCTGCATGACTTCTCCTTCTCTGCTTCAGGAAGCGGCTGCCACCTGATCCCTCCTGGTTTCCAGGCATGAGGGACAAAACCGGAGTAGGGTAGATTCGTTTAGATTTAGCGACTTCGACATACTGGCATGTAAGATAGGCTGTATCGCGCAAGGTGATCTAGCATCTGCGACATGATATGATGCACGGGAAGTCATTGCTCACTGCTTTGGGGCCAAGCTTGCACGGTCAAAAAATCATTCAGTCCTCAGCTACCCAACATAGCCTTCACAGCGTGCCTATTTCGTGATCTGCCGAGCTGGGGACATGAACAAGTTTGTTGAACCTATGTTCATTGCAGAAACGGCTGAATCGCGAGATCTGCCAGGCATTCTCCTGTACGGCATGACGAACATTTCCTCTTTCGCCGTGGGTCCAGCATGGTTGCAGGCGCTTCTTCATGAGAAGTTCTGTAAAAGGGCTCAGGGCTTCCTGTCACTCCCGGCGTATTTTTATTGGTTATAGCCTGACGGCCCTCGAAGACACGCAGCTCCCAAAGCTTGGATTTTATTGTGTATGAGAATGCAAATTCCAGACGTTGAAGTCACTTTCTTTGCTTTACAGCTTTCCAAGGGGGGTATTGTATCTCCTTTGATTTGCATGGCTAGTCTTCCGGACGGAAGTGTGCCTTCAAGCCGAATCGTTTCGCAATGGTTTCTAGAAAGCTAGTAGGACGAAGTCTCGGCTCGCCCCTTTGAGCACCTGAAATATGGGTTGGTAGAAATACTATAGGAGCCTTAATAACTAGAATAGGGTTTGGGGTATATTATACTATGACTATAATGATAATAAGGAACCCCCAAAACCCTATTCTAATTATTAAGGCCCCTACATTATGTCATTTTAGCACCAGCTTCAGCTGTGCTTCACCTGAATAAGCCTCTTCGTGTCCTTCTCTCCTCCGTGCAGCAGGCAACCATGTCCGGGCATTTCTGGTTCACCATGACCCTGCCTCTTGGCACTGTGAGCTCGTAAAGCTCCAATCAGGTTTCGCTGCGCTCGGGTATCCCGGGTTGTTGTAGCTCAAAAGTGCAGGATGTCTCCTTCAAGAGGCCTGGCAGCCCAAGAGCCACGAAGCGAGTTTCATACCATAATTTCCACCGGGCGTCAAGAACATCTCCTGTTGAGTTGGCTTGTAGGTATGTGCCCCTCAAGCTCGTGGTGCTCTATCGTCGCTCGGCCGCCCTAATCTCAGGAGCCCGCCCACCATCCCGGCTAGTATAGCGCACTGTAGTATACCATAGCTCAGTAACGTATAGAAAAGTATAGTTTAGAAAAGGGCACTATACGTAGTATACTATACTATAGTCTAGTATAGTATACCATAGTTCCATAGAGGCCCAAGCTCTAGGGAGTTCTTCGCAGTCCTTTATTGCTTGCACTGCTCGCAAAGTGCAACAACGATGCTTTGAAGCACAATCTGCGAAGCCCGAGCTCGAAGCCTGAAGTTTATGATCCCTACAAAAGTAGGCAAAGCGCATACTTTGAGATCTCACTGCCCCCAGGCCTGTTCCTCTCGCGGAGCCGTGATTCCGTGGCACCGCATGCCGGCATGGCCGTCCTCATGGCCTGGACAAGGGGTAGCAGTCGAGGGATGCCTTTTTGACAAGAGTGTGAGCGTGGGGATAGGGGCAGGGGCTTGCAACGACTTTGCGGAAGTGGTGTGTGAGCTTCGGAGTCTTCTGCAGCTGGCAGCGAAGATGTTCCGCACGGCTTCTCAGCTGAGTGGTGGACAAACAGTGAGTACATCACCTTCTCGACGTAATCACAGAGAGGGTTTCTTTTAAGGACACCCTAAACCCTGCAGTCTTAAAGCCCTAAACCACTTAAAACCTGAGACCCGTTTGAAAGCATTTGATTTCAGGCGCCGGCCTCCTTCTACACTATGGCCCACCTTAGCAGCGGCAGCCGGGATGCAGATTCTTTGGTAGCCTCTGGGCCTTTGGGTTTCCTTCCTCCAGAGGCTGGTTGCGTGGACGAAGCTCTTCGTAGCATCCCAGCACGTAGTATATACTCACAATGACTTGGTGTTGTCTGTGTGTGTATATGTATACGTATATGTATACTATTATATATATATATGTACACACACGCTGCATAGGGAACCTGAAATGCATTGAACCCTAAACCCGGAAAGCCGAACCCAGAAGAACTGAACGAAGCCCTGATCCAAGGGAAGCCCGGTGGTGACGTCATGGGTTATGTCCTCTTCGCCGACAGCACCGTGTGCTTCCTCCTCGCACTGAGCCTGCTTTACTCCAGGCGACTGTCTTGCATCTTTCGTGACTTTCCATCTGGTTCTGGGGTTTAACGTCTTACGGTTTCAGATGGGGAGTTTGGGATTCCTGGTTATGGCCGGCAAGGGCAGAGGATCCACTTAGCTTAAGCTTTAGCTTCTTTGAAGCCATCCTCCGAGCAAAGGTCCGCAGCCGGTAGAAGACTCCGAGGTTCATAGTGTTGGGTCAAGGGCTCGTGGCTTTGAGTCCGGATTCTGGTCCTTGCTTTAGTTGTCAAAGGCCGATAGGCTGAAGTGCATTATGAATAGTGGGGCAGGCTGTTGGCAGCTTAACTGAGGTACTTTAGGTCTGACATCTGAAGCCACCCCGAAGGTTGAGATTCTGAAAGCCCTTCAGAGGAAACCCCCCGAAGTCTGAAATGCCTGGGTTTGAGAAATCCATAGAAATCCCCAAGCCCTGCACCCCAAACTCCCCAACCTCAAATCCTGCCCCCGCGCCCTGAAACCTAGACGAGCTCATCACACGTGGGTAGACAGTAGAGAGATTCCTGAATACTTACCAATATTATTCCTTTCGGTCCCCCTATCATACTTGTAGTATACGACACCCCGAAAACATTAAGACCCCTACACGTTGTTTTTCTGAAGCCCTAAACGTACTCGACCCTCGACCCTAAGAGCTAGGAACTCGGGTGTGACGAGGGCTCCTCAAGTTTCCCCTCGCTCGCGGGAGAGGCGGAAACTCTGGATTTCCGGCTTTCACCCGACCTACGTGACCTGCTCTGATGATGAGCGGCTCCGTTTTTGGGGGTGAGGGTTGGACTTTAGGGTTTGGGGTTTGAGGCTTAGGGTTTGTGGTTTGGGGTTGAGGTTGCGGGTTTATCTGAGGGACATTCACATAGGCAGAAGAGTCCATTGATGCGCTCAGGTTAAGGATGAAGAGCCTGAAGAAGACCTTAAATAGTGGATGTTGTAGAGGGTTCAACACATGCTCATCTAGTCGGGGGCAGCACGAAAGGTCTACCGGGTGTACTATGATAGCGCCTTTGAGTCTTCAGCCGGTCCCCCGAAGCGCCGAAACTGCAGTCCTACATAGTCCTACACTTCCTCAGGAGGCGTATCCTGAAACGGGGGGCCGCGATAGTGTGTGACTCAAATCTTCCAGAGCTCCAGACCAAAAAGTACAAACCCTCGTCTGCTGCGACGTGATACAGGGCTCTTGGGATCCAGAATTTCCATGAACCCTTGAGCTGTGGGCCTGGTCTTGACTGCAAAAATCGCCATCGTCTTTATCTGTTCTGTTACCATCACCCTCACGTGCATGGCATTATGTGAAGTTTTTTGTTCACTCCAAGGTGGCATTTACCTTTCCACTGGCCTCCACGGCGTCAGCAGCCCTCTTGGCTTCGGCTACTCAGATTGTGTTGCTCAAGCCATATAGTGCCGAGGGCTGAAAGATCGTGGCAGTGCCATATTAAGCGGGGTCTTTCTGCGTTGGCACATTGCGGCCTGTATTACGGGGTCTTGCGGCTTCGAGGTGTTCATTCTGCATTTGGCATGTTTGATGGATCAGTTGTTAGTTCCGGTTCCTGGGTTTGGGCAGAGACATTGAGGTTAGCCCCTTCAGCGCCCATGAATATGATACTCCCTCTCATAACCTTTGTCGAGGAGGGTGGGGTGCTTACAAATGAGGGCTTAGGGTTTAGGGATCTTCTTTAAGGAGCGCTTGCCCCTGGTGGCGGGGGCCGCCTGCCGCACTTGGGCCACGGTGCTATTGCTCGCCGCGCTGGCCGCCTCTGAGCCGCATCATGGGCTCGGGTGTGCTAGGGTTTAGGATTGGGTTTAGGGTTTCGGGTTTCGGGTTTAGGGTTGGGTTTTGTTGAAGTCCGTTTTGGGGTCCGATGTGGCGAGTGATGTCTGGGCTTGGCTGCTAATTAAGGGTCTGGGTTGAGGGCTTCGCTCACTTTAGCCTGAAGGGTGCAGGTAGGAGGAGTTTGCCCCAGCCACGGATCCGCAATGCTAACGGCACTCTACGAATATCTGCGGGCGTTTCCCCTAATCCCCGAACCCATCGCCACAGCCCCGCTGCCATATGTGGTTGAGCGTGTATGCTTGCGTCTTGGGCTTCACACGAACAGGAGGAGCATCATCCCCCAAACCCAAATAGGTTTTGGAAACCAGTGCTAAACCCTTGTGCGGACCCTTAGCCTTGAAAAAGGCCTTGTAGACCCTTATACTATGGGGGTCAGAATGATGGCTTCCTTATTACAATTTGGAATAGAAGATACTAGTACCCCCAAAAGGCCTATTCTTGTAATTAAGGCCCCTATATTAAGCCCTGTACCCCGAAGCATGATCTTGAGCTGGGCACGCCGGAGTCCAAACTGTCGACTTCGGTCTTGGGCGTCCTTCAGGATCATATAAGATCATATAAGGGCCTTTAATGACCGCTGGTGGTATTGCTTAGGGTTCCTTCATATTCCGACGTTCCGTCATAGTCGAGGCCACGCAGCAGATTTTGGGACGTTGCCACTCCGAAGCCCTCGTTTACGATTGCGGGGTTTAGGAGGTTCATCGGTTCAGGCTGGCTTGAACTGGCCTGACCATCCTCGATTCCTTGCCTCAGGCATCGCTGACGGTGCAGGCCGCTTGGTCCCAGTTGTCCAAGATCCATCTCTGTGTGGGTTGGGGCGTCGGTGCCTCACGGATATATGTGCTATTCTTGCCAATCATGTTTTTTTTTTTAACCGCTGTGTCACTAGATCATCATCGTCATGTCTATGACGATTATCAGTCGTATTCGTCGGATTTATGCCGTGCAAGGTTCGCTGGCCATGGCCTGCAAGGCTAACGACCACTGCATGGCTTTTGAGTGTCAGCGAGCTGCCATGTCGATGGGGCTTCGGATTTATGGTCCGTGTGCAGAGACACGATCTTGCGAAATCACATCCCTAAACCCTAAACCCCTAATCCCCAAACCCTAAAACCCTAAAAGTGGCCCGGCCCCAACTCTTCCGGGCGCTCCGACCCCGGAGTAAGCACCTGAACCCCAAGCCAATGCCCCAAATCCTAAACCTCCTTGGCAAAGGCTGGTTTCCTGCGCCTCGTCCTTTCCCTGCGAAGTCCGCGGACAAAGACCGCATAGCCCGGGAACAAAAAGCTGCGCCTTCCTTCAAAACTCCAAGCTTAGGTTTCGGATCTGGGTTTAGGATAGTTTTTAGCCCTAAGCCCTAAGCCCTAAGCCCTAAGCCCCAGCTCTAATCCCGGAACCCCGAAATGCGCACAAGGCGACCCTAAGCCAGAAAGCGCGAAGCCCCGGACAGACCTGAGCCCAAAGCTTCGGAAAAGCCTGAGCTCCCCAAGCCTGAGAGGGGCTTTACGGTTTAGGGCGGCGTCCCGGGGGCTTGTCGGGTTGATAGAGTCTGTAGTGTATACTAGGTATGCTATATGTTATGTACTATATATGATATTATATATATATGTATATAATCTACATATATATATATATGTAATATGTATATAATATGTATGTTATATATATATATAGATATAGAGTGTTGGTGTTTGGGTGTTTGGACTTTCTGAGCCCTCAACAGGCCGTGCACCTCGCAGCAGAGCATGCTGGAGGCGTTGAGGCCTGCAAAGTCACGCAGTGCCTAGATCAGTGGACTTGGTTTCGGGCTTTGAGGATTGCGGGTTAAGGGCTGAACGCTTTGGACACAGGGTTGCAAAGGGGCGCGCTGCGTGCATGCTAAGAGGTGGTTTGAGTGCGCGGCTAGGGTATCACGAATGGCCCCGTTTCTAGGCCCGGGCTTTGCTGGCCCCTGAATTTGAATGTGTACACTCTCAACTTTGACCCGAGTCAATCTCGAGCCCTCGTGCTGCTGGACAAAGTCCTGCAGTGCCCAGAATAACACGGCACAAACCTCTAACGCCCATACTTTGGGTCACTTTGGGCCCGTCAACCCCAAACCAACTCGAAACCCTAAGCCCTATCCCCCAAAGCCTGAACCCGAACCCCCAAACCCTAAGCTCTAACAGCCCAAGCCCTAAACGCCATAAAACAGGCTCTCCATGCTTCAAGGAGTGTGGAAAAAGGCCCTCCAACAAACAAACTCCATAAACCAAAGCCCTAAACCCTGAAAACTAAACCCTAAACCCTAAACCTAAATCCCTAAACCCTAAACCCTAAGCCCTACAAGCCCCTAAGTCCCTAAATCCCCAAACCCTAAGTCCCCTAAACCTGGCGAAGGTCCTCCGGGTGCTCCTGGCTGCAGGGGCCAACCCGGACGCTCAGACCTTGGCTCGGAGGTGGAGCCCTGATTTGGGTGGGGAATGAGGGGATGTAGGGGTTTAGGGGTTTAGGGGGATTTGGGAATTTGGTGGGTGGGGAATTAGGGGTTTAGGGGTTTTGGGATTTAGGGGGATTTAGGGGGATTTAGGGGGATTTTGGGGATTTGGGGGTTTAGGCTGTGTCGGGAATTAGGGGTTTAGGGGTTTAGGGATTTGGGAGTTTTAGGGGATTTAGGGGATTTAGGGGTTTAGGGATT